TCATTCTATAACAAAAAACATTGTTTTGGCCTCATTTAGGTTTAAAATTCTCACTTTGCCAAAATTCTAGTTTAATTTGTATATTCAAACCCGGTTTTGATAAAAATGAATCAAACCGGAATGCAATCCTGGTCAACGATGAGTCAACCCAGCGAACCATTTTTGGTAAAGAAAATTGTCGATGTTGAATCAAACCCGTCTCCATCGCTTGACCAAAAATGGCACAGTCCTTCTCATCAATCAAATCACGCCACGTGGCAATTATCGGAGCTGGACCCTCCGGGTTAGTGGCGGCAAGAGAGCTTCGACGAGAAGGTCACTCTGTGGTCGTCTTCGAGAGGCAAAATCAGGTCGGAGGAACTTGGAACTACACCGATCATGTCGAACCGGATCCGTTAAGCGTTGACCCGACCCGACCCGTCGTCCACTCGAGCGTCTATGGCTCTCTCCGAACTAACTTTCCTCGAGAGTGTATGGGATTCAGAGACTTCCCTTTCGTGGTCCGATCCGGCGTTTCCGAATCCATAGATCCCAGGAGGTTTCCGAGTCATTATGAAGTTTTGGCGTATCTGCAAGAGTTCGCTAAGGAGTTTGGAATCGAGGAGATGATACGGTTCGAGACGACGGTTGTGAGGGTTGCTCCGGCGGTGGAAACCGACGGCGAAGTAGGTAACGGGAAATGGAGGGTTGAATCGACAGAGAAAGAGAAGAAAGTTGGTCGTGATGAGATTTACGATGCTCTTGTTGTCTGTAACGGACATTACATTGAACCTCGTCTCGCTCAAATTCCTGGTAGTCTCCATTGATTCTCCTCTTGCATTTCATCATCACTTGTGATTTCAATATTAATCTTCCATAGTTTCGTGTGTTAAGGTTAATCCTTGTTTCATTCAATGACCTAGATTCAATTTGGAAATAGAAAAAGTGTGATACTGAGTTTTCTCTGAAAACTTGTAGGGATAAGCTCTTGGCCAGGGAAGGAGATGCATAGCCATAATTATCGTCTTCCCGAACCGTTTAAAGATCAGGTACTTGTTTTTAAGGATCAGAACATCAGATGCTTATGTGAAAGATCATGTAATGCTAAATTTTTATGTGAAGATTGTGCTACATTGATTATAGGTTGTTGTGATTATTGGAAACTCTTCAAGTGCTGATGATATAAGTAGGGACATTCTTGGAGCTGCCAAGGAGATTCATCTGGCTTCTTGGTCAAATGCAGCTGATACTTTTATCAAACTGACTGGTCACACTAACCTTTGGATGCATTCAATGGTGAGATAGCTCCTTAGTAGGTTGTAGTCACCGTAATTCGTTGATCAGGGGAGAAATAACGGTCAATGTTTTCTTGAACGCCTACACAGATAGAGCGTGTCCATGAGGATGGTTCAGTGGTTTTTCAGAATGGGAAAACGATTTTGGCTGATGTTATTATGCATTGCACTGGGTATAAAATTCATTTTTTCTTTCGGCTTAGAGTTTTAAAGAGGTGGTAGACTTAGAAAGCTCTTTCCTTCTCTTTTTCAAAGGTATAAGTATCACTTTCCGTTTCTCGATACTAATGGAAGTGTTACCGTAGATGATAACCGTGTTGGACCATTGTATAAACACATCTTCCCTCCAACATTCGCACCGTGGCTCTCCTTCGTCGGGATACCATGGAAGGTACATTTCTTTTCTTTTTTTTGGGTTAAAATTCACATTTTCCCTCAAGTTTATTTATCCGTTGTTACATTCCAACAATCCATAACAAATCGGATTTTCAGGTTGTACCGTTCCCTATGTCTGAGCTGCAAAGCAAGTGGATTGCTGGTGTTATGTCGGGTCGGATCACACTTCCTTCAAAAGAAGATATGATGTTGGAAATCAAAACCTTATATGCCATACTTGAAGCTCAAGGGATTCCAAAGCGATATACTCACTATTTGGGCACCGACCAAGTAAGAATCTCTAACATATGTTTCTCCTGTGAGACCAAATATAAACCAAACCCAAACAGAAACAAATTAATGTACCTTTTGTTGTTTCTTGCACTTGTTGGGTGTGTACTTTTTCACAGTTTGAGTACTATGATTGGTTGGCTTCACAAAATGGGTGCTCAGGAACAGAGGAATGGTGGAAAGAAATGTGTTCGACGAGTTTCATGAGGAAGATAGAGCATCCAGAGACATATAGAGATGAATGGGAAGATCATCACTTGATTTCTCAAGCTTATCAAGATTTCTCTTTGTACGAATAAACAAAAGGTGAGATTTTATAAGATCAAATAAGCTTTGATATACCAAAATGTTTTGCGAATTTCGTAACGATACACGTAAGAGGGCTGGAAAATGGAAGCCGCCTCACTTCCGTTAAGAACAATTTAAACATTATGAACCAATCCTTTGGATGTTTCTTTCCCTATATAGATAAAGTAGAAGTCCAAGTTGCAAACCGTTCCCTGAAAGCTATATACTGACTGACCTAGAGTACATACATAGCGTGTAGTGAGCACAAAGTGAACTATTCTTTCACCTTTTACAACACTCAAACAGCGAACACAATGGCAAAACAAAAATTGGTAACACAGAGATTCGAACTAGAAATAAGACCACATTCGAAAGACAAATCCATCTGGGTTGTGTTATCGTAGATTCGACATTCAAAACCACCCTCATGCATCTCTCCATGGAAATTATCACAATCTTTTTCGTTTTCAAAACCTCCCTTGACTTTCTCCTAATCAAAGCTCCTAGCCGATCGCGTTTCAAGTGATGGTCGATACTGGTATGCATCTTATCAAGCTTAGAAATCATATTGAGAATGTTACCGCCACATCTCATAGGTTTCCTCTGGAGATCTCTATTGTCGTTGTTCTCTAAACAATTTCTAAGAAATTCATTCACATAGTTCAGTGACTTCTCTGCTAGTGATGAAATAATTATTGAGAAGACTAAGAATCTCTGGTTTAGTGAATAGTGATGAATAAAAGCCATATAGAGTACTATCGTTAGATTAATATTGTAATGTAAACACTCGTCGAACCCGGTTTAGTTTCGGGTTTGTCAAAAGTAATCAAACCCGGTCTAATTCTGGTCAACAACGAATTAACTCGTCGAACCATTTTTGGGTAAAGAAAATTGTTGTTGTTGAATTTGGTGGGCCATACTAAACACTAGTAACTGAATATCAAATTGTCTCTCGTAACAAAACCCAAAATGGCACAACAGTCCTTATCACACCAATCAGATCATCATGACGGCGAGAGCTTCGACGGGAAGGTCACTCGGTGGTTGTCTTCGAGAGGCAGAATCAAGTCGGAGGAACTTGGATCTACACCGATCATGTCGAGCCCGATCTGCTAAGCGTTGACCCGACCCGACCCGAGTGTATGGGATTCAGTGTCAGTGATTTCCCGTTCGTTGTCCGATCCGATTCCAGAGACCCGAGGAGCTTTCCGAGTCACGGTGAAGTTTTGGCGTATCTGCAAGATTTCGCTAAGGAGTTTGAAATCGAGGAGATGATCCGGTTCGAGACGACGGTTGTGCGTGTTGCTCCGGCGAAGGAAGAATCGGGAAATGGAGGATTTGAATCAACAGAGAAAGAGAAGAAAGTTGGTCGTGATGAGATTTACGATGCTCTTGTTGTTTGTAATGGACATTACACTGAACCTCTTCTCGCTGAAATTCCTGGTAATCTCCATTGATTCTACTTTTGCAATTCATCATCACTTGTGATTTCAACAGCTTTAATCTTCCATAGGAACAGTGAATCATAAGCTTTAGTGATTTTGATTCTTGTGATCTTACATTGTAATTTACTCGGGAAATGTTTCAGGGATAAGTTCTTGGCCAGGGAAAGAGATGCATAGCCATAACTATCGTATTCCCGAACCATTCAAAGATTTGGTACTCGTTTTTAAGGATCATAATGATCAGATTCTTATGTGAAAAATCATGTTATGCTGATTTTCATGTGAAGCTTAGGTTGTTGTGCGTATTGGCAACGCTGCAAGTGCTGAAGATATAAGCAGGGACATCGCTAGAGCTGCCAAAGAGGTTCATGTGGCTTCTGGATCAAATGCAGCTGATACTTATATCAAGCAGGCTGGTCACACTAACATGTGAACGATTTTGGCTGATGTTATTATGCATTGCACAGGGTAATGAATCCATTTGTTCTTTAGGCTTTTGAGTTTTACGGTTTTTTTACTTAAAAAGCTCTTATCCTTTTTTTTGTCAAAGGTATAAGTATCACTTTACGTTTCTTGATACCAATGGAATTGTTACCGTAGATGATAATCGTGTTGGACCATTGTACAAACACATATTCCTCCAACATTAGCACCGTGGCTCTCCTTCATCGGGATAGCTTGGAAGGTTCAAAAGAATTCACATTTTCCCTGAACTTATAATCCATTGTTACATTTTAGTAATCCTTAAGAAATCTGATTTCAGGTTGTGCCGTTCCCTATGTTTGAGCTGCAAAGCAACTGGATTGCAGGTGCTTTATCGGGTCGAATAACACTTCCTTCAGAGGAAGATATGATGGTGGAAATCGAAACCTTATACGCCACACATGAAGCCCAAGGGATTCCTAAGCGATATACTCACCATTTGGGCATTACCCAGGTAAGAATCTCTAACTTATGATTATTCTGTGAGACCAAATCTAATCTGAAGCGGAGCAGAAACACATTTTAACGTTTTGCGTGTGTTTTTTCGTAGTTTGAGTACAAGAATTGGTTGGCTTCACAATTTGGGTGCTCAGGAACAGAGGAATGGAGGAAAGAGACGTATTTGACGACTGGCGTGAGGAAGAGACGAATTGGAAAATCATCACTTTGTTTCTCAAGCTTACCAAGATTTCTCTTTGTATAAATGTCCAAAAATCAGAAATCGGAAACACGAATGCAATAGAAAACATGTCAAATGTTGCATCATAAAACCCGAAAAAAGCACTGAGTAATAGAAGATCAATGAAGACCCAAATTCAAAAGGGAATTCCCAGAAAGCAACACAGGCACACAGAGAGAGATAGATATTTCATATAAAGCAAACAGAGAGAGAGAGATAAATGGCATCATCCACTTGGAACTTGCTGCCTGAGAAGCCCACTATCCCTAAGCACACACACATATAAAGAATCATTTAAAATGAAATAAGGGAGTAGGAGAAATTTAGACCTGTTTGCATGAAGATAAGAAGCGGGTTTTGGTAGCTTCGTCCTCCCATTCCACACCTTCAATCCATTCTTTCTCTCTGTATCTTATGACAAGTCCATTTTTACCACTTTGGGAATTGAGTGGAAGCTTTTTCAGGTTCGGACATTCTCTTACATAGATATCCTTTAGACATGGAAAGGGTAGAGGTCTCCAATAGATATTCTTCAGCTTCGGTACAATATTCAACCTAAGAGATATCAGGTTTGGAAAAGGAACAATCCATGATTTTTCAGCTTTCCCTTTGTTTATTATATCTTCTAGTTGGTTTGCACTGCTCACAGCAAGATCTTTAAGATTCACAGCGAACATCAGCAACGTCAATTCCTTGAGGCCTTCACAATTCTTTATATCCACTGTGGAGAGGTTTTTCAAATTGTGTAGAGGAGAAACCATCTTTATCCCACTGACAAGACGACAGAGCTTGTCCATAGTTGCTGGAATGACTATTCCAGATGTATCCATAGAGATCGTGTACAACTCGTCAATCTATGAGAGCTCAAAAATTTCTCCAGATCAAAAGGATGATTGATTCTTAAGGTTAAAACTTGTAAATGTGCCAAGGTTTCCAACTCCTCCATTGTGTCGTGATGCCATGTCAACCAGGAAGGAGATAATTTCAAGACTCTCAAACTATGCAGACTTGATATCCCAACAACCTTCTTAAGTTTATTTGTGAACTCCAAATCCAAGTGAATTAGTTCTTTCAACTTTTGCAGACCCAGAGGCAAATGACTTATACCAGTATCTGACAAGTTGAGATATTGCAAGGAACCTAATTCTGATATTTCCTCAGGCAATACACAAAGATTACCAATTATCTCATAACCCTTGTTCTCAGCCCTTTCTATACTTCCACTTCCATCTATAATCCCTTCCCCTATCCAGTACTCTATCAGCTGTTCTTTACGAATACTATAATATTCTGGAAATATAGCAAAGATGATTTGTAATGCTCCTCCTTAAGATTATCGTAGCTATACTTCAAAATCGGAAGGATCTTATTCTGCAGCATATAAAGTCAACACCTCAATCTCATGGGGCCATTCTTGTATTTTCCCCTAAGCATTGAACTTCCATTTGGGTCTTCCACTCCCATTCGTGCACATACATCTTGGGAACGAGTGGTGAATTCCACTTTGCATCTGTTTTGTTTTGTTGGAAACGGAACTCCGATCTCAGTTAAATCCACCTTCTCCCATATGTCATCTAAAAACAGGACGAATCTCTTTTTCCTTAAGAAATTGTATATAGCATCGGTCTTTTGGCTCTTCTCTTTTTGTTTCCACTCCTCTCCAGCAAGACCAACTTTTTGTGCGATTTCATCTTGAATCTTCTCTACATGTAACTCTTTAGACACCACAAAGTCAAACCCACACCTTTCCGCACTGAATTTATTGTTGATCCGTGTGAGAAGCGTTGTTTTCCCTACTCCACCGAGACCATACATGCCTTGTCGAGCATTATCTCTTGACCAACAATTGTCGGTTGAAGCTGCCTTTCTTGCACCACACATGTTTGACGCATCGAAAACTCTAATTTTAAGTTCTTCTTTCAACGTCAAGAAAACCTTTTCCCCATAACCACAGCAAAACCCACAAAGATACAGCTTTTGAAGTTCAAGATCTCTATCATTAAGAAGATCGTTGACTTTTTTTTTCGATAGTCTCAACTTTAGTAAGCCATACCTGAAATTCCGAAAGCCTTTGTTGACCTCTATCCTCTTCTCTTGCGAGCCTTCTTGATAAATCATCTCGCTTAGCCTTGAGCTCTTCCATGGTTGACTCTAGAGCCGTGAGATTCTTCTCAAGATTGTGATTGTAACCTCTTTTCTCTTGGAGCCACATAAACAATCTATTCATCCAAAAATCACCTGGTGTCGAGAAACAATTCCCCATTTTACACAAAAGGGAGAACTCTGAAATTGCAAAAAAAAAAAAAGAAAACAAGAGAATATTATAGACTTTCTTAATTGGTCAAGAAAAAAGAAGACGTGTGACATACACTTTGTTTTCTGGGAAATTTTGATTGTTTCTTCTTTTTGATTTCAACAGTTTTGTTTTAGGGTGATTTAGTGCAATAGCTATATTGAGTCTACAAATAAAGAATATAGCTACTACTAATGGATTAATTTATCAAGTAACTATGTGAGATGTTGTGGAGACCAAAATACCCCTAACCCATGTAAAGACAAATTGTAGTTATACGGTACATATATAATGTCATGCGTATACTGGTGAGTGAACCCACGTCACTTAGCCACAACTTGTAGCTTACAAATATCAGGTGTAGTGTTTATAAAACAGATACGTATTTTTTAAATGGTAAATAGTATCGCGCCATCTCCACATTTCTCAATTTCCTTACAAGATTAAGGATAGTCATAAATTCATTCAAAACCACCCTCATGCATCTCTCCATGGAAATTATCACAATCTTTTTTCTTCAAATCCTCCCTTGACTTCCGATCGCATTTCAACTGATGGTCAACAAATATATCGCGAATTAAACAACCGGAACACTTACTCCATCAAATAAAAACTTAGATCTAAGGGTCAACAAATACCTGTGGAGCAGCACCAAATGGAGTGGAAGTACACATTAAGACTAAGTCAATATCTTCAGGAACAACCTCTGCCATTTCAAGGGCTTTTAGTTGCTGCTTCTACTGCTAAGCCAACCAAGCTATCTTTGGCTTCAATTATAGTTTAACAAAATCAATATCTCTCTTTATGTATACCAAAAATCTACTCTAAATTTATACACTACCTGATACAACTCGACGGTTGCGAATACCAGTACGAGTAGCTATCCATTCATCATTAGTATCGACTATTTTCGCAAGATCATCATTACAAATCAGAAGACTTGGGACTGCTGAACCAGATCCAATCAATTTGCAGCCACTCGGCACTAGCCTTCAAGTATACAGAATACAAAAAGAATGATGAATCAGAGACCATTCGCATACTTTTTCGAAGTAATTCAAACTCGAAAAGAGAATCATTACATGAAGACTAAAGCTACCTTAAGACTCAACAATAAGAATCAATCATAAACTACTTAAATACATTCTACAAAAGCAAAAATTTGGCTTTGAAGGAATCAACTTTTGCTTCCAATCTTCCTAATTACAGAAGCGTTTAGCTCAATATCAAGAAAACGGATCTCAAATCAAAGAAAGATTGAGTTTTTTCTCACTTTGGTCGTCGATATTTTCCATAGATAAACTATCCCTTTTCTGTATTCGGAGCAAATGCAAACGCTCTATTACGGTTTTATCCTTGAAGAAACTAAACAAAAGCTTCCTTGTAACTGATTCATATCATCAAACTAGTACGCGAATTGGGAATGAAGTAAACTCAAACTGACTTCATCCCAGTCATCTGGCACTTGACGTTTCGACTTCATACCAACCTGTCAATACGAGGATGTACTAGCTGCTTCCTGTCTCATTATCATGGTTAAGATCACCATTTGCACTAGCAGCGTTGCATGCACGAGCAGCGTTACGCGCAAGAGCTTGTAAAATAGCTTGCTTACGAGCTCGTTCACGTTGAAACTTAGCCAAACAAGATTCAAATACAGAAATCGGTCGGTCTTTTGGATCCATCGGAAGTTCCAGCAAAACCTACACTTTATTCCAAATTAGTTATGAGACCATGTCAAGAGTTACATAATCTATCTGTGCAGATCAGAGTAACAGAACATAAGCCATGATTTTGCAACAATTAACATATTCTTAAACACAAAGTAGCCATGAAACTTAAGGACACTACAGAACAAGGAGCGAAATTTGTCACAAGATAACATTTTTAGTGATTCAAGGCCAAAGACAGAGATGATATTTACATTTCGATTAGGAATAAAACCTTAACGGAGAGAGAGAGATCGAGGAACAAGAACAAGAAAAAAACTGTCTTCTTTATGGCTATGCATCTCATTCCCTGGCCAATAACTTATCCCTTAAAAATGATTCTCGAGCAAAAATCACAATCACACTTAATCATTTGAGCTATTTGTTGAATCAATGAATCAATGGAAGTTACCAGGAATCTCAGCGAGACGAGGTTCAATGTAATGTCCATTACAAACAACAACAGCAACGTAGATCTCATCACGACCAACTTTCTTCTCTTTCTCTATCGATTCAATCCTCCATTTCCCGATTCTTCCTTCGCCGGAGCAACACGCACAACCGTCGTCTCGAACCGTATCATCTCCTCGATTCCAAACACCTTAGCGAAATCTTGTAGATACGCCAAAACTTCACGGTGACTCGGAAACCTCCTCGGATCTCTCGATTCTGAGACACCGGATCGAAACCACGAACGGGAAATCTCTGTATCCCATACACTCTCGAGGAAGAGAGTGAACAA